AAGAGCTCCCACCCTTAACGAGTCCATTGTAATGATGCTTTTACAGAATGGACGACTTAGATGATTGCTTTTCACACATTCAGCTTGATATTTACGGTCTGAATCCATTCGGACAAGAAGCAGGAAAAACACCACACCAAGACGACTTCCAAATCACCGCCTGTGGCGTTCGAGGTTATTAACGGATTCGAAAGAACTGATTATCATTCGTGACCCATTTGCTTATCATTTTCAGCTAGAAATTTTGCAAATTTTTTTAGGCGACGACAGGAATAAAATGTCCTTAATATTCAATACTACATGTATAATTTTTAGTGTAAAACTTGATAAAACGAAATGTTCAATCAATCTAATAACAATTTGGATGCACATCTTAAAACTTATAATTTTTAAAGTATTCTTGGCATTTTGCATAGCATCATTCGTGACCCACTTGCCTACTACTTCCCGCCGGAAATTTTTAAAACTTTTAACGTAAAAGCTATATTTTTTATGTTCTTAGGTAATTTGACACTGCACACATAATTTCTAATGCAATTATAGCGTCCCGAGACTCCCTGAAGACGAAAGAAGACACAATACTCGGGCAGAACATATATATTCAGCACGGAGAAGGTATCCGGGCTATGGGCATGGCCCAAAAGGCCAGCCTCACGCAGCGAGGTACAAGAGGGCTAATTCGAGGTTCAAAAGTGGCGCCTCACCAGAACCGAGGGATAAACCACTATCGTATCACACAACACTTAATGAACAATATGTTCAGTCAATCTATTAACAATTTGAATACAGACCTTAAATCTTGTCTTTTTTATAGTATTTTTAGCATTATCGTGTAGTAATTTAATTGACTATGAGAAATGATTGAACGATCTTCTAATTCAAAGACTTAGGTCTATTTTGTACTTTACTAATTTAGAGCCCTCTCACTGTGGTAAATCAATATACGCTTTTCATGCTTGACGCATTGACACTTAAAGGGCACTTATTTAGGATGATGCTTATGGAAAGGACTTAATGGTACCCGCTTACACCTTCCGTATTTGCATTTTTTGTTCAAATTTGGTGGTATTTGAGCGGTTTCAACTAGTATCTTTTCTAATCTTATGCATTTTAAGGTAGGATAATATAAAATCAAATTTTTGAAACGCGCTGAAGTCTAACGAACTATAAGTGGGATTG